CACGGCTTGCTTTTCATTCACGACAGCAAAGCTCAAGCCCCAGTGACTGCTTCTTATTCAATTGCCTGCCCTATAATAAAAATAGTAAGCGAATCACATAAGCAGTTAAGTCCTGACAGTAGGAATACAAATGAAAAGAAGAAGAGTGGATATGCATACATACATGTCAGAATTGGGTGGAGGTAATCCAGAAGATCTCAAATATGAAGCTAATATGTTGGAAAAATCATATTCTTATAAATAAAATGTAAATTACCTATTACCAAAAAAATCAATAGAGCTCATTCATTTAAGAATGACTATAAAAATATTGAACTATATTGTGGAAACCTGAATATCATTCCTAAAAGGGAGAAAAAACACACATAAATGTTTTTGTGGCTGCCCTGCCCTTCAGAGTTTGAGGGAGAGAAGAACCCACAGCCCCACTGCTGCTCCCACAATGCCTGGGGAGAAGCTACAGTCACACTCATCCATGCCCTCTCAGCTAGTATCTTAATTAGCCCCTGTATTCAGAAGCAAAAAAAACAGAGCCATGTCCAGAATAATGGCCCTTTGCAGGAATAAAGTTACAGAAAATCCTTTAGATATAAAATTGAAGGATTCTCCTGGGTGATGCCAAGAGGTGCAGCTAGGTTCCTGCAGAGAAATGCAAGGCATCTTGCTTGTGGATGGGATTAACACCAATTCAGAGCATCTACCTGGCAGATTTTGATCAATTCAGATGTAGCTGTGTAGCTACACCACCGGCTAAAGCCTCCAGCCTTAGGCTATTTGCTGCTTTTTATCCTTGTCTCTTACGATGGCAGCTAAAACATGTCATGAGCCATAACAAGCAATTGAGATAAATGCCAAGCCTTGTAAACCTTCAGAGAAGAGGCTGCATTTCTGTTACATTTCAGCACATCTGCTGAAGCCATCAAAAGCCAGCAAGGTATAAACAAACAACTCCAATGCCAAGTATCTACAACTAAAAACGAAGTTTCCTTTTGCTCCAGCTACTTGCTTCCCTGAGACCTTTTGCCAAACCAAGGAAGACAACATTTAGTCTATTTATTTCTAAGGTTTAGAAAGACCAATTTTAATGCCTTTTTTATAAGTCACAGAGAAATATACAAGCTAATTTTCCCCTTTTAAGTCACCTTTATCACAAGAGTTTTATTCTAATGAAATATAAATATGCTTTCTAGTCAATGGAGTTACTGAGGTACATCAAAGCTTCAGGATTGCAAACAGTAATTTTAACCCTTTTTAGGGTGTTTTGGTTTTTTGTTTTGTTTTGTTTGTTTAATTGCATTTTTTTGCAAATAAGCTAAAAATACTGAGCTCCCTCTGCATGAGGGCTCTCAATACCTTCCTATAAGCTTATGCCTTGCAACAGGAGGGCTATACTTGCAGTACATCTCTGAAATACGAAAGCAGAGCTTTTTCCCACAGCACAGAAGTTTTTCATTGTTCAGGTTCTGCATTTTTCCTTCAGTCATGGGTCAGTTTTATGCATTTCTCCTATACTTCCACCCCACGGTAAAAACAGAACACCCCTCAGGGAGAGGCCTTCTCCCTCTCACTCTACTGACTCTTCTAATAGGCAGACATTCTCCATCAAGTAAGATCCTGTAGCAGCAAGAATCTGATATTCTGCCCTACACCACAGCAGGCAGGGGTCTCTACTGTGGTTTTCAAAGCATTTTGTCAGTTAGTAACAGTGTCTAAACCTCTAAAACAGCCATTCTGGCCCTAGAACTGAAATAGTTGTAATTACTATCTCTCATTTACATATACTAGGTAGCAAACCCAAGCTTCATTTTAACAAAAAAAATAACTTGTTTCACCACAGTAACCAATGTTTCCCCATCTCCACACATACCAGACCTTCCGTGTGGGACCCTCTTCACCTCCTGCAGAGGGAACTGTGGTGTTTGTGTGCTTGAATAGCACTTCCCATGCAATAAAACCCAGTGATCACTACAACAGTCCTATACTAGTAACATGAAAGTTTTAATTAGCCAGTTTTTCTAGTACAATTAAATCACTGTGAAGTGCCTCTCTAAGGGAAGAGGTATATCCAGAAATTAAAATAATTCAGGAACAAATTACACAGCCCTTGCATTAAGCAAAAATACTCTGATTTTGCTCTTACTGGTAGGGTTAACCAGCTATCTAGAGGAAATATTTTGAAACACTCTAATTTAAAAACCACCAAACCACCAAAACCAGTACAGGAACTTCTGCACAACAGCTTTGTTTTTTGGGATGCTAATCTCTAGGAAAGCTTTCAGCTAATGAATGGCTTACCCACTGCAGGCAGGTTCTAGCCAGCACGTTAGGACAGTGTCCATCACCTGTATTCCCCACTCACAAATCCCAGGGCAGAAGAGCCAAGCACTCACACAGGTCATACCAGCCTGGAAGCCACCCAGAGGAGCTGGCCCAGTAGCCATGTTCCACACTTTGCATGCCAAAATAAACTCCTTTCCTGATCTTTGTTGGTTTATTTCCTGGAATTATATGGAGTCGTGGAGAGGGTTAGAAGAACTGTATTTTCAAGAGATACTGTGGCTTTTAGTTTCAGAAGTACTTCTCTAAAATACACTTCACTTCACCAGGCACAGCATACCATAGCTTGATTACTAACAGTAACTGCTATGCTGCAAATTTAACCATCAGCAATAAAATAAAAAAAAGCATAATCAACCACCCTAATTTACTCTGCTGCTACTTTAGCAAAGGCATTAACTTAAATTAGACCTTACAGTTATGCCTGATCATGCAGCCACTTTTTACAGTAGTCAAAGATGAGGCATAAAGAAATGCAAATTTCCACAACAAGCATGCACTAGTTAAACTGACTGAAGAGGTACCTTTTGTTCAGATCTAAATTGATGTTTTAAGTGTTTACGTTAATGCACTGAGAAAGGCTGGTCAGCACTTCAAAGCTCTATAGGGAGCTTTGTTTATTTAAGGCTGTGATTTTTAACTACAATATTTCTACCTGCTCAATGTGGGTTGCAATTATGCTGGTACAAAGGAGACTCCAAGAGCTATCCTCTGCTCCCATTTAATCTCCTGCAGCTCATTCCTAATCCAACCCCCATCCCATTTTCTACTGACAAAACTGTGCATGTAGCCATCCACCGAAAGGACTCGAGAAGCTAATTCAGGCTAAAATCAACTCTTTTGGGGAATGGAGTTTTTATTTATTGCCAGCAGCAGTAGCAACATTTGCTGACACAACTGCTGAGAAGC